TTTTTTTTCCTAACTCAGTTCAACGACGGAGGATAGTACGGTAAGATACTCAAGGAGATAAATTCCACCCTTATTTCTTTGGTGCCAAAAGTTTCAAACCCATCTAAGATGACTGAATTTATACATATCTCTTGCTACAATTTGATCTACAAATTTATAGCTAAGCTTCTTGCTAATAGGCTCAAAAAGTGTTTGTCCCTCTTTATTAGAAAGAATCAATGTGCCTTTATTGAGGGGAGATTGACGGTGGAGAATGTTTTGCTAGCACAGGAGCTAGTAAAAAATTATCATAAGGTTGGTTTGAGTCCTATATGTGCACTCAAAATTGATCTCATGAAGGCTTTTGATTTTGTATGCTGGGACTTTGTTTTCCAAACATTTCTTGCCCTTGGTTTCCCTACCCAATTTGTTAATTGGCTGAAGGCTTGTGTTGCAACGCCCATGTTCTCTGTGGTATTCAATGGCAATCTAGCAGGATATCTCCCGGGTAGAAAAGGTATTAGACAAGGGGACCTTCTATCCCCTTATATATTTGTAGTTTGCATGGAAATACTTTCTAGACTAGTGAACAAGGCTGCTCTAGAAGGGAAAATTGCTTATCATCCTAAGTGTGCCAAGGTTCAGCTCACACATCTCTGCTTTGCTGATGATCTAATCATTTTTGCAAATGGGAGTTTGGCCTTTTTGACTGCTATTGATCTTGTTCTCATGCAGTTTTACACAATTTTTGGTTTACAGGTTAACTACGCTAAATCAGAAATATTTTGTTGTGGCCTTGCTAATGATGAAATTAAAAACTCAAGGAGGATTTTGGTTTCAAGGCTGGTGTTTTGCCAGTTAGGTACCTTGAAGTACCATTAATAACAGGAAAGCTGTCTGAAAAAGAATTGAAGCCTCTAATTTCCAAGATAACTGACAGGATGAACTCTTGGAGTGCTAAGCACCTTTCTTTTACTAGTAGATTGCAACTCAACACTGCAGTTATGCAAGGAATTACCACATTTTGGTGCTCTACTTTTATTCTACCAAAAAAGGTTATCATGGAGATGGAAAGAATATGTGCTGCATTTCTATGGAAGAACTCAATAGAATCCGCTAGGGGAGAAAAAGTTAGTTGGTTGTCCTTATGCCACCCAAAACAAGAGGGTGGTTTGGGCTTGTGGAATTTGTTGCATCGGAATATAGCTTGTATAATGCGCTTCATTTGGATGCTCTTTTCGAAGTCTAGTTCCATCTAGGTTGCTTGGGTTTATGAGAATTTGTTAAAAGGAAGAAGTTTCTAGGCTGTAAAAATTCCCTCAAATGCGTCATGGGGTTGGAGCAAACTGCTCAAGCTCAGGCAACGGGCTAGGGGGCTCATCCAACATATCCCAAGAGATGGCATTGAGACTCATTTGTGGCATGATAATTGTCATCCTTCTAGTCCACTGGTAGAAACTTATGGTACAAAGATTATTCAAGATGCAAGCATTCCATCCCATGCCAAGCTTGCTGTGGTGGTTAATGGAAATTATTAGAAATGGCCACCTGCACGCTCCCCTCAGCTCCTAGATATTCAAATAGCGCTCTGTAGTAGATTATATCCTAAAGAGGGTGAAAAGGATAGTATGGTGTGGATTCCCTCAGCTTCTAGTTCTTTCAAAGTAGGAAAAACATGGCATTGGATAAGAAATAAGCAAGCTAGAGTACCATGGCACAAATTAGTTTGGTTCCCTCAATCAATCCCTAAACATAGCTTCATTTGCTGGTTAGCTGTGCTGGATAGATTAACAACAAGAGCCAGGCAAAAGAAATGGTCTCCGACT